GGGGGCCGAGCTCCAGACGGCGAGGGGGGGGCTCGCCAGGGCCCAGAAGTCCTTGGGGATCGCCCTTCGCTCCAACAAAGAGTATGCTTCTCGGGTGGGTGAGTTGCAGGGGCTGGTTACCTCGACCCGTGGCGAGGTGATGTCTTCTCGGGAATAGGTTCGCTCTCTGGAAGATGAAGTCGCATTTTTGAAGGGAGAGCTGGTTTCTATGACCGAGGAGCGGCTCCGCGATGAGGTCATTATTGGTAGCAAAGAGCAGGAGATTGCTGCCCAGAGAGTAGACCTTTCGTCGTTGGAGGCCGAGAAGGCGGCGTTACAGAGGAGACTTGAGGATGTTGAGCGCTCCATCGTGGTGGAGCATAAGAGGGGCTTCCTCAAGGCTGTTCGTCAAGCCAGGCTTCTTGCGCCAGGGTTTGACTTCTCCGATATGCATGTGGAGAAGGTCGTTCGCTTTGAGAAGTTGGTCAAAGAGGACGACGTTGAGGATAGCTCCAGCGATAATGCCTCTATGTAGGCCGATTTTGTAATTGTAATTTATTTTTGTTTTGGATTCAAGTGTTGAATCCTGAGAACTTTGCTTGTATATATATATGTGTATATTTTTTTTACATGAAGGTTTAAATTTTGCCGTGATAAAACCGAGGTTTGAACTCGACTTTTAGCTTTTCGTGATGGTTCAGACTGGACCGTAGATTGAGTTTATGTGGAGGTTCAAACTTGACCTTAAATTTTTTTGTGAAGGTTCAAACTTGACCTTGATGAATCGAGGTTCGAATTCGACCTTAAATTTGCGTGAAGGTTCAAACTTGGCCTTAAAGTTTTGTGAGGGTTCAAACTTGACCTTACTCATGTCGAGATTCGGATTCGACCTCGGGTATGCCGAGGTTCGAATTCGACCTCGGGGATATCGAGGTTACCTCATAAGGTGGGTACATCATTATCTGGTTGTAACCCGAGTAGGCGTCAAGGAAACTGAGGAGGGCGTGTCCGGAGGCTCCGTCGACTAACTTGTCAATGCTCGGCAAAGGGTATGAGTCCTTGGGGCATGCTTTGTTTAGGTCGGTATAGTCGACGCACATACGCCACTTCCCCGAGTTCTTCTTTACCAGGACCATGTTTGCTAGCCATGTGGTGTATCTGACTTCACGGATGAAGCCAGCATTGAGTAGTTTCTATGTTTCGGCGATGATGGCTTCCCGTCTTTCGCCACCGACCTTCCTCTTCCTCTAGGCGACTGGTTTTGCCTCCCCGTGTATCGCTAGCCTGTGGCAGATGAAATTGGCGTCTATGCCTGGCATATCAGCACTGGACCAGGCGAAGAGGTCGGCATTTTCGAGGATTTCTCTTTCGAGTTGTTGTCGCAACTCTGGGGTCAACTGTTTACTGATCTTCGTGGTCTGTCCGGGGAGTTCCCCGATCTGGAGGTCATCGAGCTCGTCAACGGGGCTGGGCCGCTCATCGCGAGTGTCAGATCTTGGGTCGAGGTCGATGACTTTTCCGTGGTCGGTGCGAGCCACGGTGGCAAGGTTGCTCTTGCATTGTTCACCGAGTGGGGCAACTTTTAGGCTTTCGGTATAGCATTGCTGTGCCACCTTCTGGTTTGTTTTGACGGAGATGATCTTCTCGTCGTGTCGTGGGAACTTCATGGTGAGGTGTGGGGTGGATACCACCGCTCCGAGCTGATTCAAGGTTGGCCTGCCGATGATGATGTTATAGGAGGTGTCGGCTTCCACGAGGAGGTACCGAACCATGATCCGCCTTGAGTCCGGGGGTGCCCCGAAAGTTGTTAGTAGGTCCACATACCCCCAGGTGTGGACGCTCCTTCTTGCAAAACCGACTAGGGGTTCTGTGTGAGGTTGTATGAGAGAGTGGGGGACGTCTAACCTGAGGAACGTTGGCCAAAATAGGATGTCGGCCGAGCTCCCTTGGTCGAACAGGGTCTTGTGGACCTCCCAATTAGCTAACGCTATGGCTATAACCATGGGGTCGTCCTGGTTGGGGTAGACTCCGGCATAGTCGTCGTCGGTGAAAGTGATCATCGGCGAGCTCTGGTGCGAAGCGGGGGTAGTGAAGTGTACGTGGTTGGCATTGTGCAGGTGCCTTTTTTGGGCCGAGCTGCTGGCGCCTCCTCCTGCGAAACCTCCTGCAATCGTGCAGACCACTTCCCGTAGGGGAGTTGATCCTACTTCCTGGTTTACCTGGCCTCGCATTGCTCCCCTGGGGTTGAGTTGAAAGCCGGAGGGGTGATCAGAGTGTCATTGCTGGAGTTGGGCGTGAATGCGCTCGTTTTCCTCGCGTAATGCCGCGAGGTTCGTTGCGTTGGCTGTCTGCACTGCCACCAAGTCGGCTTCGTGCTTGGCATGCATGTTGCGCAGGTCAGTGTCATGCTGTTGTCGCATCTGTTCGACTTGGTTGATCAGTCTTCTCAAGGTTGTAGTGTCACTGTCCATGGTGATAGAGTGTTCAGTGTCGTCTGTTGCACGTCTGTTGTGGCTTCTTGTGAAAACCATACGGGTGGCCGATAAGGGCTGTCTCGATGGGCCCCACGGTGGGCGCCAAATGTTCTTACCGAAAATCTGCTGTAGAGCTGATCCACCAGGTAAGATCGGTGAGCCTCCTTCACTGGTATGCTTGTGTTCCAAGATGGGGGTGGTACCTACAAAAGAGACTCCGATGCTAAAGTTAGGGTTTGTATGAGTATTAGTCTCGTATAAGTAATGCACGTACCTTGCTGTGAATTAGGGTTGTTTTGGGCCTTGAGCCTGAGATGAGGTGTAATATGATTAGATAATGGACCTCGTCTGGGGCGAGATCTTCGGGGATCAGTTATGATTCATGTAAATACCGAGCTGACGTCACGTGGTGCGCGTTCGAGGTCGATTTGCGTTGCGGTGCCGAGCTCGGAGCTCAGTTACGCAGTACGGATAGTACAATGGTTAATTAAGGTTCATACGGGTCTTACTGTAAAATTAGAACCACTTTTCTTTCAAGGAAAATATGCAAAATAAAAAAATAATATATTTTAAAAATATGAGTAAACAAGTGTGTTATAAATATATTTGAAAATTATATAAATTTATAACAAGAGTGACTTAAAATATTCTTTGGTCTAAAACAACTCTGATGTTTTCAAGTTCCCCATGCTTAGGCATGGTGGACAACTTCTATCCTTGGCCTTGTGTGGCTAACCTATCTCCATCAATTTCTCTTAAGCCCCCCTCAAAATCGTCTTTTGCTAATGTGGTGACTAACACCTTGGCTACTTCTTGCACCACCTCCCTCCCTAAGCCTATCAAGAAGGGAGATTCTTTTGCTGTCAACATTCCGGAGGACGCCTATCAAGAAGGTCTCTCTCGCTACACCAACCATTTGCACGGTAGAGTCTTCTTGGCCAAGGGCTAAAAGCCTTTGAGGTGGTGGAATTGAAAGCCAAACTTGCTCGGTTGTGGACTCATGTTGCTGGCTGGAAAATCATACCTCTTGGAAGAGGTTTCTTTGAGTTTGAATTCCAACATGGTAAGGATCTTGACACGGTTCTTGCAGCTGGCCTATGGAATTTGGAACCCGGATTACTTAGACTTTCACTTTAGAAACCGGATTTCAATCCAAGAAACTTCAAGAACTCCCTTGTACAAGTTTAGCTGCATATACATGACTTGCCTCAAGAATATTGGTGTGCTAGGATCATTCTTGCTATTGTTGCGGGGGTAGGCACTCCTTTTGCACTTGATCAAGCCACGGTTCAAAGAGACTATGGACACTTTGCACGTGTATTGGTTGAAATCAATCTTGCGGAACCAATATCAGATCACTTATTAGTTGAGAGGGAAGGCTTTGCATTTTATGTGAATTTAGACTTTGATAGAATCCCTGATTATTGTCATCTTGTACAATTCAAAAATCTGCAGCTGGTGCTGGCGCTCATGGTGCTGATCCGGGTAGCATACAAAATGTGCCTACTAAATGCAAGGATGAACCACAAGTGGGTGAACCAGCTGAATCAACAAAGAAGGATCAGCTGGCAGGTCATGATTTAGCAACTGACATGGTGCAGGTGGGAGCAGCTAGTGCTAGAGCTGTCAAAACGGGCCAGCCCGGCCCATATGGGCCAACCCTCTGTGGCCCACCTTAAAAATGGGCCCACCCAACCCGGCCCACTTTTTATTTTGTCAGAATTTTTCTAGCCCGGCCCGGCCCACCACGGGTTGGTGGGTCAAACGGGCCAGCCCACCAACCCACCAAAAAATTAAAAAAAAAATAATATAAACCATAATCAAATTAGCCCCAATCTCATAACCTGAATCAATTCATTCTCAGCAAAGCCAAGTAAATTTCTATCAAAGCAATTTGAAGCTGAGCTAGTCTCCAACAAGCCTCTTACATATTCACACAAAACCACCACCTCATTTGTGGTTGGACTTTCCACAGGCTTCCTCCCAGTAACCAGCTCCAAAAGAATGACTCTAAAACTGTAAACATCATACTTCTCACTCTGCCTAAGCCCTTGAGCCAAAACTGTTGAATAAGCAACCAGACCCAAACCCCTAAAAATTCAGACTTTACTGTGTGTGGTGGAGAGAAAGATTAAGCGGAACGAAAGGAAGGAAAAGATAAAGAGAGAAAACAAAGAGGGCACCTTCGTGAAGCTGAAGCTGACTACGGTGATGAGGCGACGAGGTGGAGGCGTGGAGCCAACTGCGGTGTGGTTGTCTGGTTGATTTGGGAATAGGGTTTTGACCATTTAGTGTGTGTGAGACTCATTATGAGTGTGACTGTGTGTGCGGTGTGCATCTGCCACTTTGTGCGGTTCCGTCTCTGTTGTGTTTTTTGCAATAAAAAAATAAGTGGGCTGGTGGGTTACCCGGCCCACCACGGGTTCAGCCCAAGTGGGCCGGGTTGAAATTTACCCACTTATTGTAAAATTTTTATTTTTTTTGGCCCGGCCCGGCCCGTTTTGAAGGTGGGCCGGGTTGGCCCACGGGTCACGGCCCATTTTGACAGCTCTAGCTAGTGCTAGACCACCGAATGGAGTAATTGCTGCATCTGCACCATCACAAAATGTTGTTGCACCGCTTGCAGCACATGGGGCTATAGCTGCTTCACAAGGCATCCAGGTGGCATATGCAGGTGCAGTTTTAGCTACTGTTATTCAACCAAATGCAGTAGTTGTTTTAGCTGCAAAAACTGACGCAACAATTCAAAAACTAGCTGCTAATATTGGTGCAGTTCCAGGGGATTTAATTAGTGATGCAGCTGCGAATTTTGAGGCAAATAAAAATTAGCTTACTGGTCCTGGTTCCGCCACTGATTCGGTGCATCTTTGTGTAGCTGGCGGAAAGGCTGGTGCAGTTGCTTTTGGGATTTAATTAGTGATGCAGCTGCTTATTGAGCTAGCATAATGGACACAACAATACAACCAAAGGATGTTGATATGGACGTAGGTTTGGGTGACTTTTTTGGTTAGGCAATGGATGATCCAGCAGCAGCTTGTGACAGTCATCATGATGATAATTCCCTTGAAGGCATGCCTCCTTTAGAAGATATCTCTACTGACCAAAACCAACTCAGCCTGGATAATGTCTCAAGTGTTGCACCTGTTGAGGTAGCTGGTGCAGTAAATGACACAATTCATATTCCATCCACTAACACATGCCACAAGAAATGGGATTTTGCTGCTATTATGGATGCTGCATCCGAGTCCGAACCAGAGCAGGTGGATCTCTTACCACATGTCCCTAAGACCAAGCCGAGAGTCCCGTATACTCGCGATGTAGAGTCGGATAACCTTCTCAATAAGGCAACTGACTTTTACTACAAAGATTGGGCTGATTTTCCTCCGGAGGTTCAGCATGATATGGCTCTCCTTGAGGCTGCAGGATATGACTGGGAGAAGGGCTGCATTGATCCGCTTAAGGCACAACCTTCTAAGCCTAAAAAGTCAGCATCAGATAGGCCTAGAACTCGAGCAAGATCAAGAGCTTCTAAATCAAATAAGTACTCATGAGGATGATTGCTATGTGTAGTATTTGTTGGTTTCATTTGGCACTAGATATGACATATTGGATTTGTATGGTTAGCTTTAGGTGGGTTTCGCTGTTGTGTTTTGGCTTCGGCCAATGATCTTTTTTGGTTTTTATTTTTTTTCTTTCTTTACCTCTTTTCTTTGTTTTTCCTTTTCTCAGTGGGTTTTGGTTTGGTCGCCCCACTTGTACCTTTACTTTCCTTTATATTTTAGTCCATTCTGATATGCTGCAGATGAATGGTGTGGGCTGAGGTGCTCACCTAGTTAGGATCTCTTGTCCACATAGTGATGCATTAGCATATTTATCTTTTTCAAAAATAAAACAACTCTGATGTGAGACTTGTATAAAATTAATTAAAGTAATAAAAAAATAGATACTTATAAGAAATAAAATATTTTTTTCTCTAACAATGTTTGAACTGTATTTATCAAGAAAAAAACATACCTTAAATATCATTATAGTATCTCTAAAAAAATGTTATATATTTAATCAATTGATAGTAAAAGTAGTATAAATACAAATATTATATAAATATATAAAATTAGGGGTCTAAAGCAAGGACTTCTCACTTCATTCTTGAGCTGGCTTGATTTATAGTACAATTATTTTATAATATTTTTATGGAAAAATATTTTTCTTCCAAAATATGCATTTATATTGCCATATATTATTAAAAAAAATCAATACTGTATTGTTTTGTTTTATTTTTTTACTTATTTGAAAATTTAATTTTTTTAAAATTACATTACATTACCTAACATAAAATCTATAAATCCATGTAAATTCAAACCATTAAACAAGGTAGTTGCGAATTTGAAGTTGGCGTGATAATCTTGGACATATGCATGCAATAAGCTGATTTGAGCCTTCTGGAATTTAATGCTCGATCTTATGTTTGAGTGATTTAATTGGTCGATGTCATAAGGTAGCTACCATAGTTTAATTTGATTTTTCTCTCTTTCAAGGTATACTAAATTCCTGTGGTAATTTTGATTCTATTAGGATAAGATTCATCTGTTTTGATATTGTTAATCTGATAACAAATAGTTTGTTAGTTAATTTTATTGATAAGATTGATTTGTTAGAATTTGTTTTATTTGATTGTAATTCTATTACGGTCATTCTATATAATGACTGTTTTCATAAATAATAAAGTCAAGCTGCAGATTCACAGCAACTTCCATTATGGTATCAAGAGCTTGACGATCCTAAATTTTTTTTCGTCATGTCTTCTACAACACAATCACTCAAAATTACAGATCCCAGGTCACCATTTTTTCTTCATCCATCTGATCATCCTGGTGTCATTCTTACCACCGTTCTATTACGTGGGCAGACCAATTATGAAAATTGGGCAAAGCTGATGCGTAATGCTTTGAAAGCCAAAAACAAGCTTGATTTTGTTCTTGGTAATGTGATCGCTCCTACTGATAAAGCTTCTGATGAAGCATATGCTTGGTCCTTGTGCAATTCCATGATTAATAGTTGGATTCACAATACTATAGACCCTAACTTGCAGCCATACATCAAGTGTTTCAAAACTGGAAAAGGCCTATGGGATGATCTCAAGGAACGATTTGTTGTTGCCAATATTCCACGTATATTTCATCTTAAAGCTTCTCTCGCAACCATGAAACAAAATGGTGAAACTATTACAGAGTATTACACAAAGCTTCGGTCCATTTGGGATGAACTAGAGTCTAGTCAAACATTTGACGCGTACACCACCGGTGATAATAATTGTGCTTTTAGAAAATCAATTGCTGCTGAACAAGAACACGATCGAGTATATCAATTCATTATGGGTCTCGATCATGTTGTTTATGGCACACTTATCACTCAAATTCTCAACAGCAATCCACTTCCTACCATTAATCGCGTTTTTGCTATGGTTACTGAAGAGGAATCACATAAAGCTATTGTTCGTTCTTTTAAGAACCCTGTAGACGTGTTAGGTTGTGCCGCCACCACTAATATATCCACAAATATACATCTAAGCTACGCGTTACCTGTACTCATTGTGGACGTCCTAATCATGATGTTTCTCGCTGTTACAAACTCCATGGCTACCCCGATCGCCCTCCTGTTGGTCGCGGCCGTGGACGTGGTTGCACTTCGATAGGACGCTCTGCTTCTGCTTCTGCTCATGCCACTCAATCGTTGTTTCCTCCAAAACGCCCACTGAAAAATTATGTGGTACAGCATCTTCCAAACACTCTTGGCTTCTTGACAGTGGGGCTTCCCAACATATGACTAGGACTGTCTCTCTTCTCTCAAACATACGCACCATCCCTCCTTGTTCAATAGGATTACCCAATGGTGATCGTACTCTTGCAATTCAATGCGGGGATGTTAGGCTTACATCTCTGTTACTACTTACTAATGTTCTTTACGTGTCGTCTCTTACGTGCAACCTGATTTCTATCTCCCACATGCTACGCTCCAATGACTGCATGGCTGTATTTCATAATTATAATTGTTTTTTACAGGACCTTCAGACGAGGAGGACGATTGGACAGGGTGTTGAGCACGAGTGGGTGTATGTAGTTTGCCTCTAAGTTTCTGTAAATGCGACTCATGGTTCCTCTTTCAATTTGTGGCATCGACGCTTGGGACATCCTTCTCAACATTATTTGGATTTGCTGCCATTTGTTTCTAGTTCAAATAAAATAGTTTCATGCGATGTGTGTTGTAAAGCCAAACAAACACGTTATTCATTCCCTATCAATAAAAAGCATAGTTTGCACTCCTTTGATTTAATCCATTGTGATTTATGGGGACCATATAGAACTGTTTCTGCATCTGGTGCTCGTTATTTTCTAACTATTTTGGATGATTTCAGTCGTCATGTATGGGTCTATCTTTTACGTGACAAGCATGAGGCATGTTCTACGTTAATAAAATTTATTACAATGGTGCAAACTCAATTTAATTCCATGGTTAAAAGGGTTCAAACTGATAATGGGACTGAATTTGTTTCTACTCATTTGCGTTATTTCTTTGAAAATCGTGGCATTATTCAACAATTATCATGTACATATACACCACAACAGAATGGTAGAGTCGAACGACGTCATCGTCATATTCTTAATGTGGCTCGTGCCTTGCGATTTGATGGATATCTTCCTATTGACTTGTGGGGTGAATGTATTCTCTCAGCTTCTCATTTGATTAACCAAACTCCCACTAAATTGCTCAATGGAAAATGTCCATATGAAGTACTTCATGATACTCCACCCAGTTATGACCATATTAGGGTCCTTGGTTGTTTGTGTTATGCTACAGTTTTGCCTAAACCGTTTGATAAGTTTGCTGCACGCTCACAAAAATGTGTTTTTGTAGGCTACCCATCTAACAAAAAGGGTTGGAAGGTGTTTAATTTAGATACAAAGGAGATTTTTGTCTCTCGTGATGTTAAATTTTTTGAGGATGAATTTCCATTTGCATCACCTACCACGGACATTCCTCCAGCTCCCATACATCCTACTTCCACATCTATGATTTTGTATGAACCACATGATACTCGTACTTCCTCTTCAGATGTTGCACCTTTACCTGATCCAGAGTCTGTTGAAAGGGGGAGTTCTGTTGATACTTCATCTCCATCTTCCATGCCTCTTCGACGTACAAGTAGATCTCATCGACCACCGGCACATCTTAAAGACTATTATTGTCGCAATGCTACTAAACCCTTTTCTGCTAACACTCTATCTAGCGTTCCCCTCAGGTATTCTTTATCCTATTGAGCACTTTGTTACTAATCATAATTTTTCCTCACAACACCAAAAATTCTTAGTGGCTGTTAGTAACACCATTGAGCCACGTTCGTTTAAAGAAGCCATGAAGGATCCACTTTGGCAAAAGCTATGAAACTTGAAATTCAGGCTCTTGAGGATAACCACACTTGGGTTGTCACTTCTCTCTCTCCAGGAAAGAAAGCAATTCCTTGTAAGTGGATTTTTCGAATCAAGTATCATTCTGACGGCTCTATAGAAAGATACAAAGCTAGATTAGTTATTGCAGGTAATAACCAAATTGAAGGAGAAGATTATAATGAAACCTTTGCTCCTGTTGCAAAAATGGTGAGTGTACGCACTTTTCTTTCTGTAGCTGTTGCAAAAGGATGGGATATTTATCAATTGGATGTTCATAATGCTTTTCTCCACGGAGATCTTGAAGAAGAAGTGTATATGCGTTTTCCTCCTGGTTTTTCTGTTGGTTCTCCTGGCTCTGCATGCAAATTACAACGTTCCCTTTACGGTCTCAAGCAGTCACCGCGAAATTGGTTTGCTAAA